CATCATATCATTCCATCTCTTAACCTATGATCTAATAAAAAAATAAAAAAATAAATCAACAAAAAACATGAAATAAATAAAACAAAAATAAAAATCTATGATCTTTCCTGACCTAATGTTAAATAATTTTTCCTACCCCAGTTTCACTCAAGAAGGTAACCAGTGCCTTTCTGGTAGCTCTTACTCCCTCTCCTTTTGTTCCCAAAACACCAACCACACTCCATTCCCTCTCTGCCTCTAAAACTTTAGCCTTTAGTTGTTCTCTTTCCGCTTTATAGATGTCACAATGTAACAAGATATGTTCTACATCTTCTTTTACTCCACAGCTCCCACACTTGTCACTGTCACTTTTCCCCATGACATACAGCGTACCATTCAAAGCCGTGTGATTTATTCTGAGTCTAGCTATCGTGATTTCCTCCCTTCTGTTTCTTTCTTTATAAATATGAATTGTAATTGTCTTTTGTACTTTGTGATAGTCTTTGCCTTTCTGGTCTTTCTCCCACCTTTTCTGCCAGATCTCCATCCCTTTCTTCTTAATTACTGCTTTTCCTTCTCCTTTACCAAGTTGAACTGGTAATGTTTTTTCCTTTTGTAGTGCACTTTTTGCTAATTTATCAGCACACTCGTTCCCTTTCACCCCCTCATGTGCAGGCACCCAGCAGAACTGCAGATCTATACCGCCTCTGTGAAGTCTTAACAGGCTATGATTCAGTTCTATGAGAATGTCTTCTCTGACAGTTGTTGTTGATTGTATGCTTTTTAATATGGACAATGAATCTGTGCATATCATCACCCTATCTGGTCTGACCTCTTCAACCCACTGTAATCCTATTATTACAGCAAGCATTTCTGCTGTGTACACTGATAATTGATCAGACGCTCTTTTTGAAATCGATATTTTAAAGTCTGGGATGTATATACCAACTCCAACACACTCTTCCTTGTTCTTAGAACCATCTGTGTACATTTTTAGGTAATTGTAGTACTTTTCGTTCAGATACATACTTGTTTTAATTCCCACTTCATTTATTTGCCACTCTTTTTTCCTATCTTCTGGTTCTTTTCTGGATCCATCCACTATCTCTTGTCTCTGTCCAGTGAATTACACTTTTGTTACTGGAGCAGGTAAAGCATGCAACAGATACTTTCAGCATTATCGGAGCACAAAGTGGAAGCTTGGATGAAACACAGCAGACTTCTAAACAATGAACACCTGCAACTTAGAAGAAATAAAGTTGGGTTTTATGTGTTCTAATAATGCAATCCAAACCCATGATGTAATGACAGTAATTAAGAATAATTTAGTCATTGAATAATAATTTCAGTAGATTTAATCAAACAAAACATGAACATATTGGACATGGCCTCAAGACTGTAACCTCTTCACATTCTGTTGAAATAGTCAATTATTAGCCATATCTTACACTTTGCTGTTTTGAATCATTAATATGTGGATGATAGTTGAACTGGATAATTTAATGTATGTATGCCACCTGCTGGAAAGAAGACGTATCGCTCTGTTGGCGTCGTTTGGATAACAAAAACAGAGTTAAACTCTCATTTCATAAACAATCTTTGAGTACAGACACCGTCCTGCAGAGAGCACACAATCCAACAGCACGTTTTTGGTCTAGCATCACTTTACAAAACGTTTGCATTAAGACACTATGGCCGTATCTAATTTCAAAGATTTCCCCTCCTCGACTCCTCGAATCCTCGATCCTCCGGTAGTGACCCGGAAATGAATTTCAGCGCGCCATGTTGAAGGACATCTCATTTCTCTAAATGCACATCGAGGACCGAGGATCGAGCGTCGAGAAGGCTCTCTGGAGGAGCTATAATCGAGGATACACTGATGGGTCCTCCACGGCTCCTCTGTGGATGCATTTCCGGCAACAGAGATGTTTCAAAGAGTCGTGACGCACGGCCGGACTTATCTCAGCCAATGACAGCCAGAGATGGGGTCGTTACTAAAAAAAAGTAATATATTACATATTACATATTACTTTAAAAAAAAGTAATATATTACACTACTTCGTTACTCTCTACATAAAGTAACTCGTTACTTTACTCGTTACTTTACTCGTCACTTTACTCACAGGGCCGGCCCGCCCCTCCCTGCAGGCAGATCACGCAGACTGCTAAAGTTTCAAATGTTCTCTTTAGTTCAGTTTCCATTGTCGCATAAGACTGATCCAGATAGCTCTGACTATGGCTGTCCTCTGTCTCCTGCTATCTGTATTTTGCGCAGTATATCTCTGAACGATGCGATGGTGATTCCACTGTGCAAATGGGCAACATTACCTCTACTATGAAGGATGCTACAAGCCTGTCCATCTCTGCTTTGGTTACCGGTCCTCCAAATTCTAATTTGTGCTGCTTCGGAATCGGCGGCGGCGACTCACAACATCCTCACTCTGGGTTCGGGGGTCCTTAGCTATTAGCTTCACCTTAGCATGTGTTCTTTGCAGGTGTTTGTTGAGGTTTGACGTGGTGTTTACAGCAGTGGATAACAGCTTCTGGCCTGGACACAGTTTGCACCTCACCGTTACATTCCTGTCTATTCTTCGGACGAACTCAAAATAATGGGCATACCTCCACCCCTCGAAAGTTATCGCTGACTCAGCCATGTTTATGGAGCGGAGATGTGGATGTGCAAGTCGCGCAGATTACGTACATATAAACCTGCGGCGGAAACCCCCCTTGTCTGTCAGTGTGATTATGACTGATTTTATAAAAGTAACGAAGTAACGCGTGTCGGGGCAATGTTAGTAACTGTAGTGTGATTACTGAATTATAAAAGTAACGCGTTACACTACTCCGTTACCGACAAAAGTAATATTATTACAGTAACGCGTTACACCCAACTCTGATGACAGCTCTGCATGCATCCCCTGGATATTATTTTATTAACTGCTTTCATCGCAACGCAATGTTTACAGTGAGAACAGCTGTGAGGTCCGTGCAGAAAGCAGAGCAGTGTGTATAATACATATCACTCAGTATAACAGGCCTACATTACTCTCTTTATTTGCTTTAGTTTAGTAGATATCTAGAAACAAAGAGTCGACATTTATCTAAAACCATTTAGTGCTTCACATAATAAAATACACAACGGCTGTATCCTGATATATATTATATGCTTTAGGAGTTGTAGTGTGTGCGTAGATGCAGCGGACCAACAGGTCTCAGTTGGTTTGGTGTCCTCTGCTTACTTTTAATAATAGTAATTTATTTTCCTCATTGTAGCGACCAGGGGGGGGGGGGGGGGGGGGGGGATATATCCAGTCTCTGATAGTGTTACGTTATTATGAGAGTGCTCTCATACTTGTTTGATTCTGAAATTGTATGTATTTATATAAATATATATATGTGTGTGTGTGTGTGTGTGTGTGTGTGTGTGTGTGTGTGTGTGTGTGTGTGTGTGTGTGTGTGTGTGTGTGTGTGTGTGTGTGTGTCCGCCTCTGTAGCCTGTTATTGTCTCATTATACCGCACTGTGAATGAATTAAAAGTAAATATATAAGTCATCATGAACACATCTGTCCATCAGACAGAGGGCTGCTGTGCCTCATGTCATCATTAATGGACGTCTCTTTAATATGCCCGCTCAGAGGAGAGGAGTTCTCATTTCTCTAACAGCCTGCTGCTTCCCCTCCTCTCTCCTGGGCTCCCCTACTCGGCTCCTCCGTTCGCATCTCCTGTGGGTGGGACTAAGACACGAGGATAGGAGTCGAGGAGGGGAATCTAAAAAATGAGATACAGCCTAAGACTAACTGGTCCATAGTAAAGGTCAGTCCACCTTAAATGAGCAGTGGGTGATCAGCAGGTGAAAGGCAGGACACGGGAACTTGGTCCTGAGGAGATGTAACAATTATTAAACAAGAAAGTTGTCGAGTCAAGGGGTCAAAGAAATGAACATTTGTGATTATTAGCGAATCGGTTGCAAGTGGGTGAAATCAGGCTTAGGGGGTAACTAAAACCAAAACTAAGGAGCTCATTGTTGATTTCAGGAGGACAAAAAAGGAAGTCCATCTCCCCCTCCACATCCATGGAGAAGCAGTGGAGAGCGTGGAGGACCTACGGTTCCTTGGAGTCAACATCTCCAATAATTTAACTTGGACCTCAAACCTGGTGAAAAAGGCACAGCAGAGACTGTTTTTCCTGAGGAAACTGAGACAGGCCAGGCTTCCACAAAAACTGCTGGTAAACTTCTATCGGTCGACTATTGAAAGCACCCTGACCAGCTGCATAACTGTGTGGTACACCAGCTGCACAGCCGCAGAGCGGAAGGACCTGCAACGGGTGGTGAAGGCTGCTCAGCGCATCTTTGGGACTGAGCTGCCCAACCTTGACAACATCTACAAAAGTCGACTGCAGAAGAAAGCCAGCAGTATCATCAGAGACATCACACACCCTGGCCACTCACTGTTCGAACCGCTGCCGTCCGGCAGACGGTTCAGGTCAATAAAATCACGCACCAACAGACTGAAGAACAGCTTCTTTCCCAGAGCTGTGGCCTCCATCACTCCCATCCCTGTCCAACCACAAAACTTACTATAACTTTGAACATGCACACATACAAACACACTACCTTCCATCAAAGACTGCAGCCAAAAATATCATATGTTATTTATTTGTATATTTATTAGGTATCAAACAGATATTTTAAGTAACTATTTATATTTAAACATTGTAGCTTTTCTTTATAAAATAATCTTTAAAAATGTATTTTAACATTCTGGTAAAGTGCATTTAAGTGATGACCCTGATTATTGCTACTATCTCTGCTTTATCACTGCTTTTATGGATGTGTTCTTATTTATGTACTGCAGTGAGAGAAGCCAACTGAATTTCGTTACACTGATGTGTGATGACAATGAAGATATTCTATTCTACTCTAACGTATTACATGTAACGGCATTAGGTCATCAGGATACAAAATAGGCAAATGTGTTCCCTTACAGTTACAGAAGCAAAAACAATCAGATAACAGGTATATTTATGTAAAAGAGGGTTTATTAACAGGATAGCAATGATACAAAACATTTAGAAATAAAGAACAATACATCAAATCATCCTATATCTGTATATGGAAACTTGGAGCCCTCAATCCACAATAAAATGGTTAATCAAAAGTCAGTGGTTAACGTATAAATCAGAAAATCAGTATGACAAAAACATTAAACATATTGTCCACTTATGTTGATAAAGATAGAGTTCAATTAAGTCTTATATGAATGTTGTGCAACAATGTTGATCCAGTCAGGCAGATTTTTCTCATGTGTGAACTGTCATAAGACTTATTCATTGTCCTCTCCATCAGCTTCTGTTTCCATGTGTTCAGCTGAGCTGCTGATTGGAAGTTCTGCCTCTCAGTTATCCGCAGTTTGAATTTCATTAAGCTGTGAGGACTGACGACCAACACATTTGTGTTAATTGAAATGATTACGCCATTTAAATATTTTGTCACAAACATCGCAACTGTATATTTCCTCTCATGTGTGGACTCTCATGTGTGCCTTTAAACTTCCACTCTGTGAAAAAGCTTTCTTACAGACTGAGCATCTGTGTGGTTTCTCTCCTGTGTGGACTCTCATGTGTTGTTTTAAATATTCACTCTGTGAAAAAGCTTTCTGACAGACTGAGCAGCTGTGTGGTTTCTCTCCTGTGTGGACTCTCATGTGTGCCTTTAAATGTTCTCTCTGTGAAAAAGCTTTCTCACAGACTGAGCAGCTGTGTGGTTTCTCTCCTGTGTGGACTCTCATGTGTTTTTTTAAATGTTCACTCTGTGAAAAAGCTTTCTTACAGACTGAGCATCTGTATGGTTTCTCTCCTGTGTGGATTCTCATGTGTTTTTTTAAATGTTCACCCAGTGAAAAAGCTTTCTTACATACTGAGCATCTGTATGGTTTCTCTCCTGTGTGGACTCTCATGTGTTTTTTTAAATGTTCTCTCTGTGAAAAAGCTTTCTTACAGACTGAGCAGCTGTGTGGTTTCTCTCCTGTGTGGACTCTCATGTGTGCCTTTAAACTTCCACTCTGTGAAAAGGCTTTCTTACAGACTGAGCAGCTGTGTGCTTTCTCTCCTGTGTGGACTATCATGTGTCTCTTTAAATCTGTATTCAGTAAAAAAGCTTTATCACAAACTGAGCAGCTAAAGGGTTTCTCTCCTGTGTGGACTCTCATGTGTGTTATTACATTTCTACTCAGTGAAAAAGCTTTCTCACAGACTGAGCAGCTGAATGGTTTATTTTCAGCACTACGTAGTGGAGCACTGACGGATTCATGTCTATTTTTCAGTGAGTTTGAGCCTGATGCAGGTTCTCTGGTCTCCTTCCAATCAGCACTGTCTTCAGTGTCAGGTTCAGAAGAGTCTCCAGTGTTGTCCTCAGTCTTTGGTTGTAAACTGCTCTCTGGATCTGAGTTCCTGGCTGGTTCTGGTCCTCGACAGTCATCTCCATCAGCTTCTGTTTCCATGTGTTCAGTTTGTCTTTGATGAGGCTGTGAGCACTGAGGTTTCTCTTTATCATCTTCACTCTTCACAGGGTCAGGATTGAAAGTGGACTTGGTGATATCAGTCTCCTCCAGCTCCTGAAGCTGCTCTCCGTCCTGATTGATCCTGAGTTCCTCCTGTTCCTGCTTAATGTGTGGGGGGAGCTCTGGGTCCTCCTGGTCCAGACTGGTGCTCCACTCCTGCTGGTCAGGGAGAACCTCTTCTTTAACCACCACCAGCAGCTGGACGTCTGCAGGAAACAGGAAACACACAGTCAGAAAAAACTGTTAAGTGTTAGCATTTAAAAATCTAATCACCATTCAAACGGGAGACATTTTTCAGCCCTAATAATGCCTTTGTTTTTATACTTTAATATTATCTTTCTTAGTCCCAGCTATTGTTTATTTTTGTTGGCTCAATTCACCTTATTTAGACAAAACATGTCTGTGAAGTCTTTTGCTTAAAATACCAAACAGATCACCCATTGTAGCCATGCCTCATACCCCTCTATTACAGCCCTGTTCCAAAAAGGCTGATTCTGTGACCGTAGCTTTAAATGGAACAGCTGCTGCTAGCCACGCCCCTTTGTAGCGTCACGCAGCTTTCCCCTGCTAAGAGAGTTTTCTACCGGGAGAAACTCAGCTAAACGCTGCCGTGATTAAATGCCATATTATGTTCCAAACCACTTCAAGCATTATTTCTGAAACAGTACACTGTAAAAAAGGATTTGATCATTAAGTTATTGTAACTTTTTTCTTTAAGTTACTTTCACTTAATATATCAATTTATGCAATTTCTACTTAATTTCATAAGTTGCTATTATTTCAACTCAGCTTTGTAAGCCAGCTCAATGACCTGTAAATTATATTAAGTCAATTTGACTTAACAGTGCAAGTTGTGATTTGTATTGTTCTACAACTTTCCATGACATATTCCTGTGCGGTGAAAATAGTCCCGGTCTTGTAGTTGTTTTCATTGAATGAAGGCATTTAACAGGGACATGCGTTTTTTTGTGAACCACCGGGTTTCGATTCGCCATTATCAAAAGAAGAACTTCAACCTGACAGATTGATGATGACTACGAAAAGCAAAGCGGCGGATGATTAGGTTTTTTTTAAAGTGATGTGACAGTAAACATGACCTACCGAGTAACGGGTGCGCACTGCGCAGATATTTTCGGCTGATGAACCACTGACTGACAGGCAAAGTGAGGTGAGTGGTTGCATATTTAATGGTTTCAGGCAAGACGAAAAGTAGCTAAATGGAGTTAAATCAACACCTAACTGGTGTTTCAATATTTATAAAGACACTTTATTTGAGGGCAGAGTGTGAATGAAAATGTCAGTTCACCAAGCTAACATTACAGGATTATGTTTCACAAAACATTTATAAAATAAATAAGCCTCAAGCATTCACACTCTTATTTATAACGCAGGGCTCGACAGTAACGGTTGCCAGGTTGCCATTGGCAACCATTCAGAAAAATTGTTAACCACTTCTTGGCCTTTGGTTGCCATCAGTGGCAACCACTTTTTAACATGAAGAAATAAGGACAGCAAACAGCTAAATGTGCACCGCAAAATAGATAAATGTTAATTATTTGTTGTATTAAAAGTGATATTTAATTATTGTTGTGACCAGTCTGAACCTGATACTTAAGTTGTACGTGCATTGGTGTGATTACGGAGCCAGAAAGCGATGCACGTTTACTCGCGTGCGCGGTGCGCCGTATGTTTGTTTTACAAAAAATGGCGAAGCAAATTAAGTTGTTTGACTGTGGGGTAAAAAGTTCGGCCAACCCGTTAACATCTACTACCAAAATAAAAGTGCAAAACGAAACTTTACCATAGGAAAATATTGGCATACAAATATAATCACTTCTATAAAAAGGTAACACATTTTAAATATAGTTAGACATATTAATAAATAATTTACAGCATTAATAAGTAATATCTAATTCTTAACTGTGAATGGTTTTCATTTAGTTAACATTAGAAATGTATTAGTCTGGCCAATCCAAGACTTCAATGCTGAAGGGCCAATGGATCTATGGTGGGGATCAGCACAAAGGTCAAGAAAACCCACATTTGAAAGGGAGACAACGGATGACGAAACTAGCGACTTGCTCAATTCATTTGTGAAGAACATGACAACAGCTGCACTACTGGTGTTTTGTATACCAGCAATTGAGGGTGGACAAGTTTACTACCACTTTAGTTTCAAATAATTATGTTAATTACTTAAAGTGGACCTATCATGCTATATTGCACAAATATATTGTAGGGCCATACCTATATAAAACATGTCTGTGAAGTGTTTTTTTCAAAATACCAAACAGATCATGCATTTTAGCCATGCCTCATTTCGCTCCATTTGCTCTTTTCCAGCCCTGTTTTTGCAAGGGCTGATTCTGTGACTGTAGCTTTAATGCAAATGAGCTGCAGCTGACCACGCCCCCCTGCAGGAGAGGGGGGCGTGCTCTGATCAGCTGGGCTCTCAGAAGAGGGGGAGGAAAAGAGAGGCTCCGTCCTCCGTGTTTTATTCTTATATGATTATATAGAGTTGTTATTCATTTGTTTTAAAGGCAAGGCAAGTTTATTTATATAGCACCTTTCAACACAAGGCAATTCAAAGTGCTTTACAAAAATGGAAGACATTAAGAAAATGGCATTTAAAATCAGTCATTAAAAAGAAAAGATTATAAAAGAAACATTAAAAGAAAAAATACATGGATAAAAGTTACAGTGCAGTTTAAGATGTGAATAGTTCAATTAAAAGCAGCGGCAAAAAGAAAAGTCTTCAGCCTGGATTTAAAAGTAGTAAGAGTTGCAGCGGACCTGCAGGTTTCTTAACGGTAAAGCTCAATAAATAACAAAGAAGACCGGCAATTTTCTAATTTTGTCCGGAAGATTTAAACTTTAACGGACATGTTGACCGGCGAAAAAAAATCTAACTGAAACTCTGCTGCACAGTCCCCTCGTCCCTTGGAAGAGGCGGAGAGGTGGGTGTTTGTCATCTGCTGGTGGACTACCGGAGAGAATTATAGCGAGGGAGGGATTGCATTGAATTACAGCAGCAGGAGCAAACGCTTGCCTCGGGGAGGGAGAAAAAGAGCCAGAGCGTCCACAGCGGAGAATAAACAGAAGGGCAACCATGGCAACCATGCGCGGTAAGTCTTCTTCACTGCTTTTGTGGCAGACTACAGCGCCACTTACAGGCCTGGCATATGTACTACAGCGTCTCCAGCGCTTTCGAGCGGCAATGGCCGTGGCCCACCCCCCATTCCCCTGATAGGTGGAAAGTTGCCCATATAGGCGGAGCACCCTGTTTCTGACGTCAGAACAATTTCAAATCTGTATCAGCTCCGTTGCAGCCCCGTTTTTAGGGATTTGGGTATGGAGGAAAAGAGAGAGGGTTGTGTTCTCTGACACTTGGTGAGTTCCCTGACACACCGGGGACACATTCATGTATAAAAGACGTACAAAAGTGCATTTTGCATGATAGGTCCCCTTTAATGTAAAGCATTTGAACATTATTTTGTGTCACATTTTCATTATTAAGTTGATGTACAACTGTATAGTATCTTAATTATTTAAAATATAAGGTGACTAAAAATGGCAACCGTATTTTCAGTTTTGGCAAACAAAAGCTGATGCCTGGTTGCCAGCCTGGCAACCACTTTTAAAAGTTAGCGTTGAGCCCTGTAACGCTTGAGATTTTTTAAAGTTTTGAATGGTAACTGCCTATGTTTGTAGCTTGATTTAGAGAGGTTGTGTTTGTTCGTTCCAGTAATTAGCCGTGTCCCGGCTATCGGTTCAGCTAAATATTGAAGCTAAATTGGCACGTTTCGGAGAGGTTGTGTGTATTCGTGCCAGTAATTAGCTGTGTCCTGGCTCTCTGAATTGTAGCTTGTTAGACCCTTCTATGTTCTGAAAGCTGGGCCATTGCTGTGAAGTGGAACTTGTAACTTTTTTCTGGTTCAGCTCGCGCTAAACCTGCCCAGATACAGAGGGGGTGCCTCGCGCCATTCTTTCCATTGAACGAGTAAAATGCTAAATGTGTTCAGAAATAGCATTCATATTGTGTATGAATGCTATTTTTTACTCTTGAAATGGGGGAAACAAATTTGTATTTCTGTTGTTTTAGAAAATATTTTATAGAAAAGAAAGGAATATCTTTAGTTTATTTCATCGAAATACGGTGCCCATAAACCACATGTCCCACAATGCATCTACTTCTGTGACCTGCGCATTGAAGCGTCTTAATATCAGCCATTTGTAGCAGCGGGAACAGTCCGTGCTGTAACTGTTGTACTTGTGTGCATCTTATTCTTTGTCATGTTCTCAGTTCCTATGACTTTATTAAGGTCTGCTTCATAATGTACTTACATAATTGTTCTCTATTTCAGGTGCAGATTTAGAAGATTTACATTTTGCTGCAACTGGATGAAGTGGACTTGCAAGTTGTGATGCTCATTTTAAGTTTCTTATTGGTATCGTGTGCCTCTACAGTGACATGTTTCCATGTTGTGATATTACATTCTTGAATCTTTATGTGTTTAAAAAGAAAATAGTTTCAGGTTAATGACAGTTTTAGAGTGTTGGAAGTGTGTCACAAAGAAACTTGTACTTTAAGAGGACATTTAATGTTAATTTCAGTATTTAGTGTCTCTACTGGGACATGTCTCTATGCTTTATGCTGTATGAATGCTTGTTGTTTGTATGTTGTCTTCTCCTGAGTGTGTAAGTCTCTTGTTTCTTTTTGTATTTTTGGCACCTTAAAAAAAGGAGTAGCTCTACTCATCTCATTGGTATAATGACAATAAAGGATTCTATTCTTCTTTAATGTTC